TAATAATAATAATAATAATAATAATAATAATAATAATAATAATAATAATAATAATAAATAATAATAATAATAATAATATAATAATAATAATAAATAATAATATAATAATAATAATAATAATAATAATAATAATAATAATAATAATAATAATAATAATAATAATAATAATAATAATAATAACAATAATAATAATTGTAATAATAATAATAAAAACAATAATAATAATAGTTTTTTATTCTAATCTTAACTATATATACAGGCTAGATGGCGTAAATTGGGTCCATTGGTGAAATCGATACAGTATCCGTACAGTCGACGAAATTGGCATCGTATTATTTTAACGAAAGATAAGAGCGATCCATACATTTTTCAAATCGAATGCAAAAAATTATGAAGCATTTACAACAACAACAACAAATAAAACGAATTAATCCTGAAAAAGTTGAAAAACGACCTCGCCTTGGTGGAATAATACTTTCAAATGCTAACATAAAATCAAAATTCTTCGACAATAAAGGTTTCCCTCCGTTCAATCTTGTTTCCTTTTTTCATTTATTTCCTTTTTTTGCGTTTCTCTCATTTTTTTTTTTTTGGTATTTTTTTTTTTTTTTGTTGTAAAAATAAAAATCAATTAATGGAATATTTGATAAAGTAAAATTGATGAATCAGTTAAATAGAACTGTTTGAAATTATCATAGATACATTTTTACTTTTTTCTTTTTTTTTTATCAGTAAATTAATTTGATGGCTAATTAGTTAACTAATCAAATAGATCAATAAGTGTTTTATAATAAACGAAAAGAAATTATATTGTGCCATTTAATTCTTATAATCACTTTCGTTAATTCTTGAAATTTTTCAAATTTTTAATGAATTAAATTTGATTCGGACAACAAAGAACCAATTGAAATTTCATGTCAGAATAATTTGCAAAAACGAAAGTGATATGGAATTTCGTATCATTTATATGGCGGTTTGTCTTAGTTAAATTAGGGTCAACCATATTCTTAATTGTTATCAATTGTTTAAAACAAGTTTTGAATTAAATTTCTACCAAATTAATTGGTTCATATCAAACGACTTTTAGTCATTTTACTTTTTTTCAAATTTAAATTCAAATAATTTGTGAAGTAATTTTTTTGTTTATAGCACAAATTCTTCATTTTTGCAAAATTTATGAAACTTTTAAAATTTTTTGAATTTTTAAAATTTTTCTACGATAATTTTTACTAACTTCTAACAAATCATTTTGAACATGCAATGACAATTTCAGTCGATGAATGGCCAACAGAAATAGTAAAACCAACAACTACTACAATATCAACTGTTACATTTGTTACCACTATGATGCCTGTTACTAATTTTGATACCGAAGTTATCACAAAATTGATAACCGCTGATACCATCGGTACCACTACTACTACTACTACTACTACTACTACTACACCCAACTGCTGTGTTTACCACAACTATCACTTCTGTATCATTTCCTACTTCAACATCGATTGATTTCGACGGTGTGTCAACCACTGAGTCGAATTTTTTTCTGTTCAGTACCTCATCAAACGATTATCATTTTCGACAAATTACGCCCGTTAAGAAATTCAAATTTGCTCAGAAATTTCGACGACAACCACGACTTAAAATACGCAAACCGGGTTTACCTTTCAATTTCATCACATATTTCATTACATATTTTTGCAGAAAATTTTAACCATGTAGTAAATTTTGAAAATTTTTTAAAATTTCAACAAAAGTAATTTTAAAATTTGATTGTAATAAAAATTTTACACTTGAAAACCTTTTTGTATTTTTGCATATAAATGAAACATATCAATAAAGTTTATATTTTCTCATCTAATCTATATGACAGTAATACATATCGATTTAATATTCAACAAATTATTTTATCATTTTAATAATTTAATCGATTAACAAATATTAACAATTTATAAATGTTTTTTCATTTTTAAATTTTGCAATTACTAAAAATTTAAGTTTAAAATTTTTTCTTTGAAATTTAAGGATTTAACACAAAATTAATAAATGGATTAAAAAGGGGACAAAACAAAAAAAATAAAAGTTGTATTTTATATAAATTTTATACA